AATTGGTTTAATGTTTAATTGTTTGTTTAATGTATTTTATAACCTTGATACTTGACCCTTGATACTTGCCCTTGATATCTGACCCTTGATACTTGATACTTTATAGTTTGTCGAATCGTATAAATATTATGTGACTCAGGTATGCACTGTTTGTGCTAAACCTGGTGATCCTATTCCTGTGTGGGAGGTGCGTTTGTGTAAGTTCTGCGTCGTAAGGCAACTTATCAATAAGAGTGCCTTATTTGCTTTCTCGTTGACTCCTAAAGAAATCGAAGTACTAAGGGTATTATATCATTAATTCTTTGACTTTTTACAATTATAATTTGAATCTATACAAATTATAATTTGAATCTTTACAATTTATATTTACAATTAACTTATTAAAAAATTTCTGTTTATTTAAAAAGCCTTGGAAAACTTACGTGTACGACCTTGGCATGCATTGTACATTTTACCTACGCTCACATCTTGATCATCTACGGCGCCAAAAATATTCTGATCCTCAAATCGCTTTGGATAAAGATGTTGAACAACGTCAATCTGAAAGATTCTCCAAAGAAAATGCGAGACGTAAAAGAAAACAAAGAGAACAAGATGATTCTTACACCGAAAGAACAAAATCTATTCTCAAATGTTTTAGTGATTTAAAATTAAAACCTGATTTGAATGTTATGGAAGAATGGTGGTTTCCAAAAGAATTAAAATTAGAAATACAAGAGGTAATTTATTTCTTAATATTATTTAATATTAAAAATTTTGTTTTTAAATCTGGTGATGTTTATCATTTAAATTATCATTTAAATATGTCGCTCCATAAATATCTTCTGATTTAAATTAATACTTTATTATCTAATATTATATTCAATTAATCTAATTGTTATTATTATTATTCGTTACTATCAAACATTATCAAACATTATCAAACATTATCAAACATTATCAAACATTATCAAACATTATCAAACATTATCAAATATTATCAAATATTATCAAATATATTATTGAAAAAATAGTATATTTCCAACAAGACCAACAACAGTTTGGCTCGTAAACGTCTTAGAATTTCCATGGAACAAGACAACGCCAATAGTAATGCTGGTAATGCTGGTAATTCTGGTAATACTGGTAATACGGGTAATACTGGTAATACTTCATCGGTCACTGCTGGAACTTCTGGTGACTCTTTAACAAAAAGTAAATCTCTTCGCAAAAATTTGGATGAGATAATGGCTGAATTACGGAATATCGTCGTACCACGTGTTTCAAGATTGATGGAATTAAATAGTCGTTTGATGGCTGATGGTATAGCTGTAGATAAATTACGGATGGAATTAGATCTTAAAACTCGAAGAATATATGATGACTTTGTTTTAGGAGGTATACCGATAGAAGAATACCCATTAACAGCTGCTATAACGCGTGGTGAAATACTTGCATATTTTACACGTGAAAGAATCTTTGAATCGGCTATCATCTCAACTTGGTATAGTTCAATTACAAATGATGATTTCTTATGTTGTCATCTGGAACGTCCACGGTTTTTACGTGATGCTCGAGAATGGTGGGCTCGTCGAGGAAAGAAACCTCCACCAGAAAAATGTGGGGAATTATATCTTGCTCGAGTTCGTAAAAGACAAGCTTGGTTAAAGAATGATATGTCATTGGTTACAATTCAAGAAAATTGGAGACGTGAATTATTAGAACGCAAATTAAAAGAAAAAATTGATTGGTACTTTACGGAATTACCAAAGTATATTGCTACTTTGAGGAATACTTATGAATTGAATTTAAAACGAAGAATGAAAAATAGAGAAATATTTTGGATGAAGGTATTTCTATTTTCATCTAGAATTATCATCTAGAATTATTATCATATAGAATTATTATTCTAGAATTATACGTATATATATATCTTGTATAGAATTGAATTACTTATGAGTTAATTATTTTTTTTAGGGACTGTCTTCACATCATGATATGGTAGAACCACCAGAAAAATTGAAGCCAATGTATTGTGATTATGAGGACTTTATTAAAAATTGTAACGGTTTCTGCCCAACCGAAGATGGTTATTGTGGTTGTTTAGAATGTATGTATACGATTATTAATTATTAAATTTAATTAATTATTAAATTTATTAAATTTAATTATTAATTATTAATAATTATTATTATCAAATGAATTATAAAATGAATTATAAAATGAGGTGATAAATTTTCTTTTCTCAACGTACAGATGCAGCTAAAGATATAATTCGAGCAAATACGATATTGAGACGTAGGGATTGGATGGATGCTCAATTGAGAAAATGTCAAGAAATTAATTATCGAGGCCCTGATTTGTTATTGTGTCCAGAAGCAAAGGAAGAATACTATTATGCTGCTAGAAGTATGTTCATTATTAATTCGTGTACATATACATTAATTAGTTAGTGTATATTAAGTTTATAAATAATATTTTTTTTTAATCATTGTGTAGATGTTTCTGTTCCAAAAAAAAGCTGCAGTAATGTATATTTGTCGCGCCGAAAAATTCATGCGAAGACTTCTAAACGAAGTTCCTACCTTTTCTGCTGAATTAATCACATCCGAGGCACGTGATTGGTATAAACGTTGCCTCGGAATTGTATCTGACTTTTATGATCCACCACGTCGCCCTTGTTCATGGGCTGCATTTACGACCAACTGTTATTATTATGAAGTTCATACCAATATTATGGAAAGACCAGATATTGATTATACAATTCAAAAAATTTATGAATGTGAATTAATTCGCATAACTCGATTAGAAGCTGCCGATAATGCAGCAAAAGAAGCTCGATTAAGTCCTAGCTTTTGGAACAAGGCAATGGTTAAACGACCAATGGATGGTGTTTCATTTGCAACAAGAGTTAGATGGATTGCTTCGAATGGTTGGTTTTCTCTAAATCAATTAGCTCAATCATGGGTATACGATGAAGGTCAAGCTCCGTTAAGTCAACTTGAACCATATATTAAAGAAAAAGTCAAACAAATGGAAAGAGAAAAGCGTAAAGAAGATATCACGTCAAGGTAAAAATGAATGATCTTGTTTTTAATTTTTTTTTTATTTTTAATGTTTTTTTTTTTTCATTGTAATAAATTATTGATAAATTATATTTGTAATTTAATAAATTTAATAGAATCAAGGATCATCCTGAGTATCAAATGATATTCAAGGAGGTTGATGAAGATCCTGAATTCTTTTTACGTGCCACTTATGAAATTAACACTATTTATAAGGTAAATTATATTAAATTAATTATTAAATTATTGTAAATTTATTCTTATTTACAAATTTGATTAATAATTATTTATAACAGGTGTCTAATCTATATAAAGCTCATGTTGAAGATGTTAAACCAGGAATTGATCCCAATAAAGTTGTAAGACAGGTTATTGATCTCATAAGAGATGTTAAAACCGGTGTTATCAGCAAAAGTAGCCTGTTTGTTGCAGATCGTGAGAGATTTGCTGAAGAAGAAGATGACGATGATGATAACGCAGGCGGTGTAATCAATGTCGGTGGTGCGGTTAATAATGGTGGTGTTAACGTAACAGTAAATAACAATTTAACAACCAATCCTATAACAACCAATCCTACAACAACCAATCCTACGATGACAACAAATCCACAACCTGTTATAACGAACACTAATAATAATGCGGGTAACCAGTGATTATAGTCGATTAAGAATTTATTTGCTTAGCCGAGTCGATAATTCTGACACGGGCTTAGTTGGTTATTATTTTAAAAAATTAAAGCTGCCAATAATAAACGGAAACTTCCCGTTGGCCACGCTTATATTTTATGTTTTATTTTTTTACAATAAAAAAAAAAATATAAAAAAAATAAGAATATAAACATTGTTGTATAATGTTAAATAAAATAAAAAAAATTAAATAAAATTAAATAAAATAAAAATCAAATAAATGAATAAATGTTATTGCGTAACATTCTCAGATCCAGAATGTGGTAATGCGGCAAGATACGACGCCTGATAAACATTATGATGTTCGATGGACGTAGCCGGTGTTACACATTATTTTAACGGAGGGAAAATTAAGACTTTTTTAAAATCCATTTTATTTACACGTTCATCAAGAAATACATGAGACCAAACACGCTTTAAAAGTTAACACCTAGTGACTCTAACTCTGACAACTCTGACAAATGAAATGAACCCATAGACCAGAAAAAAAATATATACCGTATATTAATAGTATTACGTAGAATTAGTGGTTATTAGCATTAGTGGTTATTAGTATTGGTGGTTATTAGTATTAGTGGTAAAAAGACTCAACAAAGAAATCAATGCTCGTTACCTTACTTGTCCCCTTCTCATTTTTGCTTGTATATTTGCACAGTCAACTAAGCCAAATTTCTTAAAAATCCGGCTAATTTAGCCGCTAAGCCGACTAAGTCGACTAATGCAATATCGGTTTGAAACACTAACTGTGGGTAACGTTTGTCGGAAATAATAATACTAATCCCAATAACGTTAACGTAATCAGTGTGTAAGGTCTTTTAAATAAATAAATTAATGGTAACTTCTATCAAATTTCAATGATTGTACGTAGCAACAAATTCATCTTCAATGATGCAGGCTGTGCAAATTAGTGGCACTTTAATGGTGTTATACCCCTAACGTTAAATTCTTCATTATTAATTCTTCATTATTGAGAATTCTTGCAATGTTATACATGTATCTTTAAGGTAACAAAGGTGGTATATATTAAGGGACACTTGGCATTTGCTTGTACGTACGTAGTAGTTGTTGTTAGTAAAAAAGAAAAAAGAAAAAAGGAATAAAATTCCTTTTTCTAAAAAAATACTAAATGATCAATTTTAGTAAAGATATGATTTATTTTACTATTTTACGCATTTAAGACTTGGAAAAAAAAAATTGTATCGAGATATACGTAGTACTGTATGATCAATTTATTCATTTGAAAATTTTCATTTGGTAGCGATAGAATACATGCAAAATTTAAAACCATCGCGCGTAATTTACAAAACTAACAAATAAAATATAATAACGATAAATTTTTCTATAATTCATACTTAAATACGTAGAAAACATGTCTATTTTGCGTGAAGCCTACCTACACCCATTCTATACTTTTTATTACCAGTTTGCTTCCATTACTGTAAATACGAACCAGCTTGCTTATTTGTTACAATTTTTTTTTAAATAAACCAACCATCAAAACTTTATATGAAAAAAAAAAAAAATCATTAAGATCTTCGGTTAAAATGTTTCGCACGCCACAAAAATAACAATTTATAAAAAGCTTTATTATTCGTTGTGATCGTAATGAAAATATTTTTAATGCAGAATCTAGTTTTTCCGGGGGTACTTTTAAGGTTCGTTCAAAGAGAATTGCAGGGATTTTTTTTTTTTTTAGTTTACGCAAAAAACGCAAAACCGTGATACGACAAATATTTTTGAATGTACAATCGTACGCGAAAGTCTTTTAGCTTTTAAAGGTTAAATTATTTAACCAAATAATCATATACATATTGTTATTGTTTTACGCTAGAACACATTTATTCGAGTATGGTATTTTTTTTTTGTACAAAAAAAAAAAAGATTAAAAGATCCGGAAGAAATATTTTCTTAAAAGTTTTTTTGTTCTGATCATCTTGCAGATAAAAAAAGACCATTCATTGTGCTCAAAATTATGCTGATATATATATAAATATATATAAATATATATATATATATATACACATACATATATATATGTATTTAAAATTATTTTAAATTTAGTTTTTTTTTTTTTTTTATTCGTACTAGTTATTTTAAACAGATCTGGTTTTATAATGATACCTTGTGTTATTATTAAAGTTAATGAGAATTCCAAAATCATCATGAAATTGATATATTTGATATACCGTTTATTAGTATTAGGTGAAAAACAGACAATGAGATACGTACTGTGAAAATTTTTTTTTTTGGATATAACTTTGAAGAAACAGGAAATATGCAAATCTCTCATAAAATATAAAATATAATATTGATATATATATATATGTATGTATGTATGTTTATATGTATACGTATATCTTTAAAACTTGTTCGATAGCGATGGGAAATCACTTCAATTGATGAAACCCTCTATAGTTGGGGTGCACCTTCTAAAGAGAAAAAAAGACCACAAAGAACTTGAAAACAAAAAAAATTGCCGATATAAATTGTGATCGTCATCTAACAATTCAATGATTGTAAACAAAACAGTGAATGAATATGCCAATTTAGATATTGTTTAAGAGTCAAGAAAAAAAATCTCGCGTAAATAAATGCGGCTTAACGTTAATCTTTGGCGCATCTCTTTTTTTTTGTTGTTTTTTTTTTTTTTTTTTTAAGTTATAACGATAAGCCAGCGTTTGGTACATTATCATAAGCACATGCATTTATATTTATGCATATTTGATTTGATTTCTTTCAATATATAAATTAAAAAATTTAATAGGTTTTCGACTTGATTGGTTTAATACTAATAAAGAATTGACATGGTTATGTAATTAAAACAAA